AATCCCCAATCCAAAAATTCAAACAGAAATAGGGGGGGGGGGGGGGGGATTTAATTTTTTTGAAAAAAAAAAAGTTTAATTTGGGCGGGCCTTTCCCCCCCCCCCCCCACCTCTCCTCCTCCTCCCCCTCCCTGCAAACCCCCCTCCCTTCTAGCAATTATGGTGTTACCTAGTTTGGGCAATGAAGCATCTGCAAGAAAACCACCAAGCCACCAAAGATCCCTCTCTTCTCCTTGAGCTACAATATTCTCTTTTATTGGCATCATCTCTGTCTTTCTAATCAGAAGAAGGGGAGTCCTGGTAGAAGATCTGCATTCATTCTGAACCAAGGAGTGAGTGAGTGAGTGAGTGAGTGAGTGAGTGAGTGAGTGAGTTTGGGAGGAATAAACACAACACAGGTTAACCTAGGCCTTCTCTTCAGCCCCCAAACAGTTTCCAGTGTGTGGGAGAATGCCAGTGGCATCGCAGCTTTATTCCCTGGCTGTTGCCTGGCTTGCACCTGGATTCCTTGGCTTTTGGCTGCCTGGACCTTGGTGCCATCACCATCTGTCCCCGCATTATGCTAAAGGGACAGTCACAGGGCTGCCCTTTCACACACCTCTGATGGAAGCCAAGTGCTTGACAGGAGAACAGAAGGAAGTTCCTGCATGGAGAGGCAGAGATTTTGAAAGGGGCTGTTAACCAACCAGGATATTACAAGGCTTGCTGGCCTTTTGCTCCTGTGGAATTCTATTAGTCAAGAAACACATTTTGAAAAGAGCACTTCCGATCCCCCAAATATTATTGAAATCAATCTCTCTCTCTCTCTCTCTCTCTCTCCTCCCTCCTTCCCTCCCTCCCTCTCCCCTCTCTTTCTCTCTCCCCTCTTTCTTCCCTCTTTCTCACTCTCTGTCTCTGTCTCTCTCTCCACACCCTAAGTGGGGAATGGAAATAAAACAGAATCAGATTATACAATCCATTTGAAAGAAAACTGGGCTGAAGCCCATAAAAATCATTTTGTCAACATATCAGTATCAAGAAAATTACATGCACAACAAAGCTCCACCCCAACATCTAGGCCCTCATCCAGGAGATTAGAAATTTCTAATCCTAAATCAATCCTATGGGTTGTAATCGACAAAACTGTCTTGTTTAGCTCAGCAGAAACAGAGAGGTAGAGGAAAGAGAGATTTGCTCAGGTTTTTCTAGGCAGCCATCTGGTTTACAAGGACCACCTGTGTGTTTCCACTTGGATGCAAGTGTTGATTTACAGAAAGAAATCAGAGATAAATTCACTTGCATCAGGGTAAATGCTCCCCACATTGGACACATGATGGGCATGCGTGCCATGGGAATGGCACAGCAACTGGAGGGAAGGATAGAAAGCAACCCAGGACAAAACCACCACATTCTTATATGGATCCTTCCTTGGGAAATCAATTAATTGCAACAAAGAACATTCTAGAATGCAGTTTACTGGCCACCAGTTCCAGAAATAAACAAGAAACAGAAATAAACAAGAAACGGTCTATTGATGGACGGGCACAATTTTTCTTCTTTAAAAAAAGATGCATGGTGGCTGCCTGCAGCCTTATCCATCATCTCTCATTAATTGTTCTCCCTGTCAGAACATTTCTCCATAGTTCTAGGTTGCTTCTCTTCTATGCTTCTTGTGCTGCCTTCAGGTGCTTTGGAGAATAGCTTGACCCCCTGTTCTTTGTGGCAGCCCCTCAAATATTGGAAGACTATCATGTCTCCCTTACTCCTTCTGTCCACTAGAGTAGACAAACCCAATTCCTGCAACCATTCCGACCCTAGGTGAACTGGTTCTCTCTCTCTCTCTCTCTCTCTCTCTCTCTCTCTCTCTCTCTCTCTCTCTCTCTCTCTCTCT